CTCCCAAAATGCTTGATTTTTTTTTTTCTTGCCCGCTGCGAGTGGCTCCCCCTGAACCCCGCTTGCGTGCGCGGGGCTCACGCCTGAGCCGTTTCCACAGCCCTCCGGGGGCTCTGTTTAGGCAAAGCGAAGTGCCGGGGGGTGGGTGGGCTGTTGTCTCTGCCGGTGCCTGGAGCTTCTCCTCCCCCGCGGGGGGGCTCTGCCTCTGGATTATCCCCCCTCCCCGGCCGGGTGAGGAGGGGGTGAGCCGCACCCCCCGTTCGAGGCGTGGGGGGGCGGGTATGTGGCTATGTGTCGTTCCCCCCCCGGCCGGGACGCTGCCTGATGGCAGCTCTTTGGTCTCCACCTTGCCAGGCTTTCAGCAGGAGAGATCTGCAGGCAGCTCCACCATGTCGGATAGTGACCTCGGGGAGGACGACAGCACCACATCCCCGGACCCCTCGCTGTCCAACAAGAGGAAGAGAAGGGGCAATCTCCCCAAGGAGTCGGTGAAGATCCTCCGGGACTGGCTGTATGAGCACCGCTTCAATGCCTACCCCTCCGAGCAGGAGAAGCTCAGCCTCTCGGGGCAGACCAGCCTCTCTGTGCTGCAGGTAGGAGCCAGTTCCCCACACGCTGGGGACACCGGACTGGGAGAATCCCACTGAAGATCCCAAAGGACTCAGCACACTGGAACCACTTGCCTCTGCAGGGCAGTGAGGGGGCAAGGGAGGGAACAGCAAGCAGAGAAGCAAAGCCACCTGCATGTGGTTGAGGGAGGTCTGAGCCCCAGGGACCAGTGTCATGGCAGCGCTGGAGCAGAGATTTTTGACTGGCCAGAAGATGGAGGAACTGGGATGGGGACAAACTAAGCTATACTCTGTTGTTAGTAAAAGCTGCCACAGGTGGGAGAGTTTCAAGGGGGTCCTGCTTTATCCTTTTTTCCTGGGCACCCCCCAGCAAAGGGGCCACGGCTGCCACACCCCTACATGCAGAACTGGGCAGGGGACAACCGTACTAGGAGAGAGAAGCTGAGCTGGGCTTTGGCTGCAGGTGGGCCGTTAGCAGCACTAAGTACTGGCTGGTCCACCTGACACCAGTTACATTAAGGGGAGCCCAGGCCAGCTGAGGGCTCCTGGGCAGGAGTCCCCCACCCTGCTTGGGTTGTGGGCTAATGTTCTTCTTATGGTGCTGTGGTGGGTGCCTAGCCCAGAGCCCTGGCTAGCAGGGGGGTGGGCCGTGCTTTTCCTTCCTTCTTTTCATCCTGCCTGCTGGTAGGGTGGCAGGAAGAACCTGCCTGCAGCTGCCTGCTCCCCTGAGCCATGTGAAGGCCAGCAGCCCCTGGTCAGGGGGACCCCTGTGCACGCAGGGCCCTGTCACCCCTCTCCCAGCCTGGCAGGGTGGGAGGTGAGTGGGGTCTTTGCTCTGTTTCTGGGGGCACAGTGAGGTGGGAAGCAGCTCTTGTGTGTAGGGGAGCAGGTGAGGGCCAGCAGGTTTGCAGCTGAGCTTGACTCCTTCGGGCTTCTTCTGCACCTCTGGCTCCTTTCCCTTCCTGGCTGAGCACAGTCCTGGCCAGCCACCCTGGCCACGGCCCATGCGCTGGTGTGTGGGCAGTGGCCGTCTGGTTTTCTTCTTCCTGGCCGGTAAGGCAAACTTTCTCATACTAATGTATTTCCTGAAATGCTGCCTGTGCAATGGATTTGTGTCTGGGCAGCTGCTTTAGGGGGAGGCTGGTGGTCCTGGGAGGGCTTGAGTCAGAGTGTTGGGGGAAGCAGCGGTGGGTTTGGGGCTCTGGGAGTCCAGGTTTGTCCAGGTGGTGCCTGGCACACAGGGGTTTACCCCAGGGCTTGAGGCAGTGGGAGTGGTGGGTGCCTGGCTCTCTGGGACTGGGGAGGGTGTTGGCAGGCCCCTGGGCTTGTGCTGAGGTGTGGCCTTGCCGTGTGTGGCTGTTGTCTGTCCCATGGGCCCCCCTGCAGCCAGCATGTGCCTGGTGAGGTGGCTGCCCCGGTGCTGCCCAGGCAGGGGGTCCCAGCCCGGGGGTGTTTCCCGGGGCCATCTGAGGGCTTTCTGTCAGTCTGAGGTGATGCTGCAGGGTGCTCTGGGGGCTGCTCCATCTGACGAAGCCTCTTGGGGTGGAGGTGTGGGACACCCCATGGCGAGGCTGGACTGGCTGCGGGGTCAGTGCTGATCCAACCCCTCCAGGAGCCTCTCAGGCACAGGGCTCTGCCGCAGCCGCTGGCCAGGCCCCCCCTGGTTGGTTGTTTGTGTATCCCCCTGCCCAGTCCGGTGGCTTGGGGAGCTGGAGCCAGGTGGGAGCAGCTAGGGATGGGGAGTGCAGCAATTCGGGGCCTCCTGGGAGGGTGGGAAGCCATGTGACTTATTTGCAGAAAGTTGGGAGGTGAGAAAGTGGTGCCTGCTCCTGGTGAGGCTTCTCTGACCACAGCAGGTTCCCAAGCCTGTGCCCTGCGGGGATGGGCTTTTCCTCCTCACAGAGGGGCTGCTGCTGTTGCCGCAGTGGTGGGGACAGATGCTGCAGATGTGTGCGCGCTGGTGGTGGGGCCAAGTGATGGGTATGTTTAAAATGGAAAAAAAAAGACAAGCTGCTTGCTTCAAAGCCGAGGCATATCCCAGCTCCCCGGGTGGGGGATGCCATGTGGTGTCCTGGGGTGTCACCAGTGGCTGCGTGTGCCTGTTTTCTACAGGGTATGCTGGAAGGGGATTGTCAGGATTTTGGGGGGCTTCTCAGTGCTGTGGAGTTGGTTGGGCTTTTTGTTGGGAGTTCAGCCCTCTGGGGATTACAGCAGTTGATGGACATGGGATCACAAGATCACATCGAGGGGGCTCGGTGAAGGCTTGGAAGAGGGAGGGTGTTTGGAGGGGAAAAGGGCGTGAGATTGCTCTATTTTGAGGCTGTTAAATGCCAAATATTGTCTAAAAAAAATACAACTGAAATCTTGCTGCAATTGAAGTTGTGGTAAGGTCTCTCCTTGGGGGAAATACTTTATGTAGCACTTAAGTGTAGGAAAGATCAAGTTGTGTTTTGTTTTTTTTCCCCCTGGATTTATTCTCTTCTGATTGTTTTCTGGAAGAAAGCAGTTATTTTAATGTAGCATTTTACATAAAGATGCTGAAACAATACATGGCCAAGACTGAATCCATGGCCGCTGTGTTTCTGAAGGGCTTTCAGAGGTGTAGCTGCAGAGCTCTGCCTCTTTGGTGTGCAGATGGCTGGAAGAGCCTTTAAAGTTAGCTGTAACCTCAGTCCTTGGCAGGAGGCACAGGAAAGCGTCAATGCAGCCACAATCCCTGTCTTAGGTGATGGGGGCTGCAGCCCTTCAATCTGCTGCTTTTAGGGTTTTCCATCCATGCTGCTGTCCTGCTGTTGACCTGCAGTCAGTTGCTGGGACTCAAGGGCTGCTGTGGGGATAGAGTGTGGAGCCCACTCTTCCCTGGGGAGCGGGCAGCACTGCTCCAGAGCCATGGCAGCCCTGGTGGCTCTCTGCAGTCTTGCTCTGGCTCATGGGTGGCTCGGCCCAGGCTCTGTTTAGTGTGCTGGTGTGGTGAGCCAGTGCTGGGGGGGCTGGTGGCCATGCACTGTCCCCACCGGGGTGGGCTGGCAGGGCTGGGTGGGAACGTTGCAGCTGGGACAAGGGTGCAGGGAGGAAGGGGCCACCCCAGGCAGGCAGTGCCAGGCAGGAAGCAGCCAGCGCTGGGGTTTCCGTGGGTGGCTGGGCAACCCCTGCCAGGAATGGCTCTGCCTCTCCAGAGCCCCACGGGGAAGGAGGTACAGGGCTGGAGAGTAGGGGAGACCTGTGGGGCTGGGGCATGCAGGTGCTGCTTGCTGGGTCCGGGGTGGGGGTTCTGGTGGCCTGGCCGTGCGTGCATGGTAGTCCCGGGCTGACAGCACTGCCTCCCTCTCTCCTCCCAGATCTGCAACTGGTTCATCAACGCCAGGAGGCGGCTGCTCCCTGACATGCTGCGCAAGGATGGGAAGGACCCCAACCAGTTCACCATCTCCCGCCGAGGGGGCAAAGCTGGTGATGTGGCCCTGCCGCGGGGGTCTGCTGCTGGCTCTGGGGTGCTGGTGGTACCGCCCGTGACGGCCGCGGGGGCCTCCAAGGTGCTGTCGATGTCCGTGTGCCCTCAGGTACTGTGCCACCCTGCCCAGGCGCTGGGCAGCAACCTGGCAGTGGTGAGCGCTCACAGCCCCGAGTGGGAGAAGCCCCCCGGCCCGCCACGAGCAGAGCCGGACCCCAAAGCCCCGCTGGGTGCCACCGGCAGCACCGTGACCTTGCTGGCCCGGGCTGAGGCGGCCAGCCCCACCAGTGGACTCTTCAACACGCCACCCCCAACGCCCCCCGAGCTCTTCGGTGACGACTTCAGCAGCTTCCAGCTGCTGGTGGAGGTGGCGCTGCAGAAGGCGGCCGAGCTAGAGTCGCAGCGGCAGGGCGGGCAGCTGCCCCTCTTGCCCCAGACTGAGCCCCCAGGAGCCTCCATCCCCAAATAACCCCCTGGGCCAGGTCCCACAGGGTGCCCTTCCATGGGGGTGCCAGACCCTCCCAGCCTCCTGCCACCCATCTGCCTGCACCCCCCGACCAGCTCATCTCACAAGCAGACTCCTGCCCTTCCAGGGGCTCTGGTCTCTGCGTCAGCTATGGTGGGAGAGGAAGGACTGTTCCACCCTGCCATCCTCTCGCTGGGGAGGCACCCCCACCTCCCAGGATACTCCGGAATGGTGCCATCCGGCCGTTGTGAAAAGGCCTTTGCAGCTTGACTGACCTCTCCCTGCTGCGACTGACGGTTACTGTGGAGTTCCCCTTGGAAAACCTGCTGACTTCTTTTTCTCTCTCCTGTAAACAAGGGTCCAGCCAACACTGCTTCTTCAGGGAGAGAAAAAGAGAATTTATTTTTTTTAAAGTTGGTGTCTGTTTTAAGGACTATGGATGAAAAGCTTTTTCTCCCAGATATCTTATCTTTTAGCCCCTCCCATTTTTTTTCCCTTTTGTTTGTGGAGGACCTTTCTGGTACCTTATGCGAGACAGGAGCCCTGCTTTGCCCCGGGGAAGGGCAAAGGACAGATGAACTGGAAGCCTGAAGTCTGTGGCGTTTTTTCACATGGAAAACATGGGACCCTCCTCTTCTGCTTTAGGGTGTTACGGATGCTGCCAGCAGAAATCTCTATGGTGCTGTTTAGCAACTTTTTGTTGAAACAATTTCCCTTTAATTGTGATTTATTATATGATTTTTTTTTTCTTCTATGAGCATTTCCACAAGTTCCCCGTGTTTCTCTTGAATTCCTGCTGAATACGTGCACATTGTGTCCCAGAACAGAGAGCACACTGCAGAGCCTGTGAGAGGCTGACAGCAGGCTGCTGCTGGGGGCACATGCAAAGCTGAGACTGTGAAATTTTGTATCCAACGTCTTTATTTTCTTTTTTTTTTAAAAAAAACATTTGGAAAGAGGTGTGTTGCGGGCATAGGCATGCGTGTTCTTGTGCAAGCATGGTGCTCGCAGCCTGCAGACCGCAGTTCTGGAAAGCTGAGTTCTCTCATGAGCCAAGTGCTGATGACCTGCCCTGGGAACACGGAGGGATGGAGTCCCGTTGCCCTGTCCCCTCCCTCCCGCTCCTGTTCCCGGGGCTGTGCCTGGCTGTGCGGTGCTGGGGACCTCTAGTGACAAGCTGGTGTCTGCTGGGAGCTGGCCGGGCCCCCCCAGCCTGGCCTGGCGGTGGGTTTTGGGGCTCCGGGGCAGTTCCTGGTTGGGCATCGCTTGCTGTCACTGAGCCTGGGTGCTGTGCTGGTCCTGGGACTGAGATACTGCTGTTTCACTGTAAAATGTAAGTTAAATAGCGATACGTACGCACCTATGTTATCTATCCTGAGAAACACTAATCCTAGGTAATTAGCCTGATTATTAAGTTGCATGACTAGAGATAATAATGTCCACAGGATCTGGTGCTCTGCAGTGGTTGGAGCCAGCGGTGCTGGGGGAGCAGCACGCTGCAGGATGTTGGGGCGTGGAAGGGAAAAGCACTGATTTTGGGGGCTGACTTTTCTTCAGCAAGATGGTGGCAGGGGAGCAGAGTTCCTGTAGTGTGTCGTGTCGGGCAGGTGCCCCTGCGCAGCGCAGGGATGGCTCCAGCTCCAGCACTGCCCAACTGGGCAGATGCACCACTCCAGGTGGATGCTTGCCACCTGGCTGTGAACGTCCCCTTCCTCATGTCCAGCCTTTGCCCTCCGCTTCCTTTCTAGGGAAAGCCCTGAGTTTTATGACTCCCTTCCTTATTTCTAGGTAGCCCTTTGCCTGGTCACCCTCTGCAGTTCTGTTTCCTCCCCCAGGGGAGGGTGAGGCTTTTTAGTCTCCTCCACTTATTTTGCCCCAGTCAAACCAAAGTGGTTTCCTCCCCCAGGGCAGGAGTGCTACAGCTGTGCCTGTGCCAGGGACTGGTGTTGCTGCCCTAGGGATGGACCAGAAAGAGTGGGGAGGGCAGGGATTATTGGAATGAAATTTATGGAGCAAAAGAACTACTTAAATATCTTTCTGTTTGTTCTTCTGTTGTCAAATAAAAGGGTTTTTTAGGTTTTTTTTTTTTTAAATATGAATTTTGTGTGGGACTGGACTATGTCATTTGTGGGTGGCTCACTTGCTCCTCCCTCACCACCAGCCCCCACCTCCTGACACTCAGCCAAAGTAGCTTAAGAGGTCTGAGGAACATTGCTGGATGTGGAAAAAATGGGCCCAGTGCCTGGCACGGGCCTGTGCCTGCCCTGCCATCGTTCGGTCTGATGTTTGATGTGCTCACTTCCCACGGCATTTGATCCCAGTGTCTGGGAGCCAGAAGGCATTTGGCAGCAGCAGAGGGCTGATGCATTTGTCTTCCCTCCTCCTGGCAGACATTGGAGAAGGGAGACAGCGGTGCTACTAGCCCCTTGGCAAAGAAATAAAGAAAGCAGCTCAGTGGGGCTCTACTGCACACCATTTCCAGGGTCAGGAACCCTGTGAAATGGGAAGGGGTCTTCCAGAGCTCTTCTGGAGCAGCAGCCCCAGCCAGCCTTGCTCTGCCACAGAGGGCAGGATCATGGGCTGCTGCACTGCTGGCATGGATAGTGGCAGCACGGGAGCTGCAGCAAGGCTGGGCTCAGGCTTCTGTGGCTGCTCCTGCACTGCTCTGGCCTCTTGTGTGTGCCGGGAGTGTGTGCTCTGATATTTCATCTGCTAGTGCCTTCCACATGCACCAGCTCAGGGTTACAGTCTCTGTGCCAGCTTGATGCCCTGCCTCCCTTGAGATGGATACCTGCTGGAGTAGGGGCTAGCACCCATTCAAGCCCTGCAGCCCCATCATCCCTGGCTTCCCTGTGGTGTAGGGTGACCCCAGGGTCTGTGCACCCTCCCTGGCACTGGGCAGGGGCTGTGGAAGGATGGAGGTGCCCAGCCTCATGCGCTCACTCATGCAGCTTCAGGGAAAGCCCATGACAACTCTGGTGACAGGAATAGCAACAGGGTGTGCTGCGTGGGCTGCTGGCACTTAGTGCTCCTGGTGAGGATTAGGGGCTGGAGCCAGGACTCAGCCAGGGCAGGACAACTTGGGGGTGATGGTCTGCACAGCAGCATGGGGTCATAGCTGGGTAAAACACAGCTAGTGCCTGCCCCCAGCTCTGCTTGCCCCTCCAGGGGCCTCAAGTAGTACGTCAGGGTTCGGAGCTGCAGAGGTGCCTTTGCCCTGGCCAGGCACTGGGGACCTGCAGGCAAGTTGGGCAGAGCCTCAGAGACCTGCACTGGCCTCCATGGGGAAGGCACACACCCTGCCATGGGGCGATGGGTGGGCATTTCCCGCAGGCATAAGGAGAGTGCTGGGGGGGCAGCTGGCATCCTCACCCCCCGGCGCGGCGCTGAGCGGCGTTACCTGGGGTGAGGCTCAGCTCTGTCCCCCCGCCACCACCTCCAAGGTCAGCAGCCGGGATGTGTGCCCCCAGGAGGGGTCCTGCTGGCTGACCACCACCAGCCCTGCAGCCCCCCTGCCCTGTGTATGATGAGCCATTACATTGAGCGTAGAAAAGCCTCGTTAATGTGACGTTTTCGTATTTCTCGTGCCACAGCCAATATTGCCCTAAAAATACCCGCGTAGGGATGAGGATTCAGGAGAGCCTCCCTGGCTGCTGCATCTCCCGTCGCTGGGGCGAGGAGGCAGTGCAGGGCGTCATGCTGTGCCCCAAACCAGCGCAACCAGAAGGTACATTTATGCATCACAAGGGTCTCCGATCCCCCAGGGACGTGTGGTCAGCAGCCTGTCTCTTATACACATGACAGAGGACTGCCCGGGTAAGGTGGGTATTTGAAGAGTGGTGCAGAAATGTAACATTAATCTCTCTGACCCAGTGCAAACGAACAAATGAAGCTTCCCCTGCCTTGACAGCAGCTGTATAGAGTCCTGGCTCTTCCCTTCTAAGAAGGATAGAAAGGAATAGTCTCTGCTGGCTGAGCCTGATCTGCCAACGTAATTTCCCCAAGAAAGAGGACAAGAGACCTGCAGGCTGATTTTGGAACTTCAGGAGGCTTCATCTTTTGCAAACCCCTCCACATGCAGCACTTGCTGAGCTATTCTCACAGCTTTAGCCAATTTCTCTTCCTCTCAAAGAACAGAGAAGGAAACAGTGATCTCAACGTGGTCATCCTTCCAATATGTGTGGTTTTTAAACAGGTACCAAGACAAGGTTAGAAAGGACTGTGAGATTAATCTGGCAGATCTGTAAGACAAGACAGTTTGGGTAAATACAAGGCAGAACTGCACATGCAACAGCAGCACTAGCTTGCCCTGTGAGCACAACCTTTGCTGTCTTGACCAAATCTTGCCCTGGAACTGCTGCTTTCTTGCTGCGGGAGCTGTCTTGGCCACTCAGTCTGTGGCCTCTGAGCAGAGCACACCCAAAAATGCTCTTAGTAAGTGCTACCCATTGTGATGCCTTTCATAAGGCAGCCTCTGGCTTTTGAGGTCACCAGTTCTCATACCTGGTCCAAATGCAGAGCAACAACTTTCTATCAATGTTAGCCTCAAGAAGAGTACAGTCAGAGTGCTATAGGCTCATGAAACTGTAGGCAGTATCAGTCCTTTGAGATGTGCCATATTCCTCTCCAGAAAGCAAGAACTGCGAAGACATCTCTCTACTTTTGCTGGCTCCTCCAAGAGATGACAGATAGACTTTCCCCCATCCATTAATGATTAATCTGGTTTTGATAGATTGGGTTTTTTTACTTTTAAAAAACTTTTATCATGGAATAAAGATCAACTTTCCAGAAAGCTGATT